TTGGCTTAGTGTTTTCTCAAACCTAGAAGACTATATACACACGATGGTTTGGCTTTCTATTGTTGCCATCATTATTAGCAGCAGCAGTAGTGCTATCACAGTGACCTCCAGATAAGAAGATATATTAATAACTGCTTCTTCTTTGTTTAGTGGTCCCAGAACCTTTCTATCTCCTTGTGTGATCTAGAAGCAAATCTGAGCAAGAGTTTATGATGATTTCAAGGCTCATTTTCGCAAGTACAAGAATAGCATTGTGTTGCCTAGACACTTAAAACATAGTATGAGATTTGGAAAAAAGCATGAATGCCAATCCTAAATGAATTTCAAACAAAACAATCATATCTGAGATTAATATGGTGTTCTTTCCATCAGAGAAACTGATTCGAGTATAGACTGGATACCAAGCTTCATTCCCCAAATATTTCTTCTCACACATTCTTTACAAATTGCGGCAATTTGCACTTTCTTCCTCCTTCCCTTTATCCTTCCTGCTTCTTTTGCACATCCCTCCCTGCCTTCCATTCCTCCAGCTCTCCCTGCCTCTGTCCTTCCTTCTTTCCTTCCGTTCTTCCTTCACTACTTACTGAAGGACTTCTAGGTGCCAGACACTTAGAATAGGAATGCAAAATCAACAAATCATACAAGTCCCGTTCTTTCATGGACCTTGCACTCTAGCATAATAATTAACTTATAATAAATATATAAACAAGTCAATAAACAAGATAACCCTAATTGTATTAAGCTCAAAGAAGAAAATACAGAACAAATCGCATATTTCTCTGTGCTCTTAAGCTGATAACTGAAACAACAGAAGATGCTCTCTCTGATATGGCAACAGAAAATAATTCCATGAGGTGAAATGTAACAAGCAAGGGGAGAGCAGAACTTATTTGTTCCGAATTCCAGAGTTCTGTTTTTAGTATCCTTGCAAGGAAAAAATAAGATACATACAAGATTTATTGTCTCATGCTCTGGTTTATTTTTTGTTATTGAAAATATGATAGCATCAAAAATGAGCTGACAGTGGTCAATGGGCAATCTTCTTTATAAAGAGTTTGAATGTGACTGGCTTATGCAACTTGGTGAGGGTGTGTTCACTGTCACAATATTGATCATTTTAGCTACGGATTTGACCTTTGCTAGTATGCCAGAATCCTGATGTAAGAAGGAAGTGAAGGATGGTCCCACATCCTTCAGTGGTGATGTGTCATGGTATTCAGCCAACATTTTCTGACCCATTTATGCCAGGTCACTTCCTGAAGAAACGCACAAACCCATTATGTAAAGAACCATCTAGTAAGCCACTCCCAGAGGTATGTGGGTCTTAGGTAATGAGTCTCTGTTCATCCCTGACATTTTCTTTCTTTTCCTAGAATTTGGGTCAAGATTAGTAGCCATTCTTAAAGTTTTTGATACATAGCATGCATTTTTAAAATCATTGTACCTATTAATATTCCTACTATCAGTTTACCCACCAAGTACTTACTATTCCTGTGTATTACTTTTTAACATCACATTTGCTAAACTTATAGAATCAAAAGTTTTTTGTTTTTTTTGTTTTGTTTTGTTTTTGTTTTTGTTTTTGTTTTTTTGAGACGGAGTTTCACTCTTGTTACCCAGGCTGGAGTGCAATGGCATGATCTCGGCTCACCGCAACCTCTGCCTCCTGGGTTCAAGCAATTCTCCTGCGTCAGTCGCCCGAGTAGCTGGGACTACAGGCGCGCGCCACCATGCCCAGATAATTTTTGTATTTTTAGTGGAGATGGGGTTTCACCATGTTGACCAGGATGGTCTCGATCTCTTGACCTCGCTATCCACCTGCCTCAGCCTCCCAAAGTGCTGGGATTACAGACGTGAGCCACCGCGCCCGGCCTGAATCAAAAGTTTTTATATACATATGTGTATATATACATGTACGTATGTGTATATGTACATGTATAGCTGTATATACATATGTGTATATACATATATGTGTGTATATACATGTATGTATGTATACACATATGCACACACAAACACACACATATTTACACACACACACATTATAGAAGGCACAGAATTCTACTCCTTGGATTTTACTGCCAAAGGATTAATTTAAGGATTTCCAGACAGTTAGCTGAGACCCTGTAGCTGAAGCAGCTTTAGGATTAACCTCAGGATCCAAGCCGAGACCCTGCTCTTCCCAGGCACATCCCAGCCAATGACTTAGCAAGTTGACTTTAGTAAAGCCTGGCCATTTACATGCAACATGGGACTCCTTTTAGGAGTAATCTTTGCTCCAGGGATCACATTGGTTTGGCCAAGAAATTGTCAGATCTACATTGCCTTATACTACTTTTTCTCTTCTTTCATTGCATGGGTAAAAGATCTACATTTCATGTGAGCAACTTCCATGCCCAAGTAGACTTCATATCTCTCTTATTTTTCACAGTCATAAACCACTAATAAGCCATTGACACTCATATCTCTGTCTCAGCATTCTATTTTCCAAAGGACCCAACTAATATACTTTTTTGGTCACCAGAAAGGGTATTTGCTTTGCATATGCTTACAGAATTTAAACTCCAGATGCTCACGGCCATTGCCTCTTTTTTTCTTATTTTTCTAATACAAAAAAAAAATGTTAAACTATGTCCTTTATCCATTTCTGCATAGCTCATATATCCTCCTTTAAAACACACACACACTCGTATTAGTCTCCTTTTTTTTTTTAAAGAGAAGTCCTCAAAAATAGAGTCTAATTTAGATTCTTGGAGACAACTAAAAGTTTCTGCTTTCATATGAACACACTTAAGCATAATTTTGCAGACATTTACCCAAAAATGTTTACATTTCACTCATACATATTTATGTTTCATCTAAAGAACTTAGCATGACTTTTATTGATTGTTGAGTTTAGCTTCATTTTTATTCGCATTGTGTCTGTTTTGCTTATAAAAACCTCAACTTCATTCACCCAACATTTATTAAGAAACTATTATGTGAATTCTTCAAGTATCATTTCTCTCCATTACATTATCCACTATAGTGCCAAATAAACTTTCTAAAATAAAAATCAGATAATTTGATATCTGTCACATTGGAAGTAATAAAACTAAAATGAGTTTGTATTGATATAGATACCCATTATGCTGAGTAGAAATGTAAATACGAAATGTTGTTGACAACAGTTAATTAAACAAATGCCAATCTATATCACTGAAACTTAAAATTGGCCAAATCCTCTCATTTAATAGGGAGCTTTTATCATCTATACCTCATAGTAATTTATTCTTAAGAAACAAATTATTTAAATCGCATTGCAATGCTACCTTAATGTATGTGAAAAAAAAAATCTGTCTTTTGAAATGGATAGTGAGATACTTGCAGACTCAGATTAGCCTTTGTGATATTTTCTCCCTATATTTAATTCAGTGCCTGGCACATAGTGAATGTTCAATAGGTATTTCCTGGATTAGTGTCTATTTTGCACTGGGAATGGTGAACAAAAAGACCCAAGTGAACAAATAGCTAAGAAGAGAACATAACTCAAGTCCACTTAGGCATCTAACACGTTTCTGTCCTACAGAAGATCTTGTGCCATAGTTATTACCTATAAAACTGAATTTCAAAAAAATTTCACATTAGCTTTGAAATTAAGGACCAGGATGTGAGTCCCACCTCTGCTATGAACCGTGCCACTGTAACTTTGCCTGAGTTATAGGACATCTCAAACCTAGAGCCAGCCACCTGCTCTGCCATTCCAGGATCATCAAGGGACCCAAATGAGTAAAGTTTAGAACAGACTTCCTTCTTGGCTGAGGAAGGATATATATAATTATACCCCTAATTAATGCATTTTACAAGAGTTGATTCCTGTTTCCAAATCTAAATTCAATTTTATGCCCTGACCTATTTATATATAAATGTACTTTTTCTCAGTATTAAATGCATTAAGATTTTGCCCTTTGAATTTAAAAGAAAAAAGCAAAGATAGGCTTTAAATTTTTAATTTAATTAATAATTAGATTAATGATGTCATGGAAATTTATCTCAATAATGCTGAAAATTCATGAATCAAATGTATAATAATATGTGCACATGCCTGTACATTGAATTTTTCTATTTTGAAACTTACGGACAGTACCACTGGATATAGAAGAAAACATACAAAAAAGATATTTTTTAACAATAATCATGCTTAACTTTAAATGTGCTATAACAAAACCTCACAGGATTTACAACAGTCAAGCAAAATATATTTGATCTCTTAATATACTGTTAAACTATTAAAAGCACATATCTTCACTTATAAAAACCTATTTTTATAAAGCTATTTTTAAAGTCAGGGTTAAAAAGGCTGTTTGTTTGTTTGTTAGATAGATTACTTACTTCATGGCTTATAAGATCTGTACCGCCAGATCAAATGGTACCAGCTGGATTTAATATTGACCATTATCATAACTTCATAAGAGCTCTAATGGATAGATATCAGTATTGTGTTTTACAATGAGGAATCTAGTAGAAAAGGTAGTAGTATCTAAAGTGTACTGAAATATAACCACACACCGTGCACTGTATGTTTAATATTTATTGCTTCATCTAATCTTCATCACAATACTATGTGGTGGGTTCCATACCCATTTTATAGATGTGCAAATTGGAACTTAGATACTTTTCAAGCATCACACAGCCAATAAGCAACTGAATTTTTACTTAAATCTAATATTTAAGTTTGTCTGATGCATAACCACATGCTTCCCTTTATTCCAGGATGAAAAATGGTGTCAGGCCATGTTTTAAACAGGTGATGTGCTACAAAGGCTCTGTGATTTGTTGCAATCAGCATCAAAATGATTGTAGGGCTCACCACGTACCTCACATTGCATATTCGAATATTATTGAGGCAGGCAGTGAAATATTTAAACATAATATTTCATAATCCAAAATCCAAATCCCAAGAAAAGTGTTTCCCTGAAGCAAAAACATGGAAAAAAGAATTTGAAATTTAGGCCACAAACCTGTTTCAGGCTCAATGGAAAAATAAGGCTGCCCTTCCAATATACTATAAACCAACTTTGCACTGTTTCCATAAACTGGGTCATCAGCGTCGGTTGCTGTTACGTTAGTGACAGACGTACCTAATAAAAAAGAAAAAGAAAAAATAAAATAATTAACACATTGTTCTGTGCCAAGAGCTAAATTTTGTCAAGTATTTTGTGCAGAAATCTATGTGTAGGGAATAAAAGGAAAAGAAATCTTTTTAAAAAGATGAAGATAAAGTGCTCTGTCATAGCTTCAACCATATCTAAGTCTTTTAAAATAAAGAGTCCTGGAGTACTACATAAAGATACTTTTAGTATCTGTATTATTTAAGATTCCTTTGTAGTTTACATTTTAAAGAGAGGTATTAGATGCATGTGGGCTTGGGGAATATGCAAAAGAATCCTAACAAAGAAATATGAAATGTAAAGTTAATAATATAATATACCATGTCACATTTACGTCTTACAAGAGCACAACTAAATGAACCTGGAAAAATTGGCTGCTGAAGAAAAGTCTACAGAAGTATCAAAATAATATTTTATCCCATCTTATTTAATTCTTCACAACATAAAATTAGATCTGAACCACCAATGAATCATCTTGCTTACATAATTAAGAATGATGGATAACAGAATCAAAACCTTTTATCCAAACTTATTTTTTATTCTCTCATTCATTCAACAATTGAGTATATACAGCTTGCCTGTTATGGGGTATATATATTAAAATATAGGGGAATTTTAATGCCCTGATGGAAAGCGTTTGCTTTACCCTGTAGTAAATAGGGAAGAGATTTTAGTTAAAAAGCATACCTCTACATTTTGGATTTAAAGAGCAACCAAATCTCTATACATTTTGGTACCATTTAATAAAATGACTCCCACCTGCCTCCTCAAGTATATTGTTGGCAGACATGTAGGTAATCAAACACACACACACACACACACACACACACACACACACACACACACGACAACAAATCTTTACAGTCAAGAAGCTCAGAAGCTCACAGGTTGGTTGGGAATAAGAAGAGGAAGGGACAGACAAATAGAAAAAGAAATGCAGCTGAATGCAGTAGCACCAACTATGTATGGATCCCTCACTTAGTCCAGGACAGACAGGGTGATCAGGAACATTTTTCTAAGAGAGGTTGCCTTCAGTTAAATCATTTAAAAAAGGTAGAGTTTAACCAGCAGGAGGGCCCAAAGGAATTCCAACAAGAAGATAAACATAAGTAAAGGCAAAATCTTGTGAGAGACTATGGAAAGTTCTGGGCATCCCTGAAAACAGAGAGAAATTGAGAAAGTCTGGTGTAGTAACAAGAATCACATGCTGTGAGGGCAGGACCAATGTCTTCATTCAGCAAGTGCTGAAATTATAATAGTTACTGAATATACATTTACTCATTGAATAAATAGGTGAGTGAATAAAGTACCTGATGATTTAATGAGAAACAGCAGGTAGGTGTTACCGATTAGCTTCCTTGGAAGTAGACTCTGAGATAAAGATTTCCTGCTACACTTTCATTGGAGAGTGTTTTTAACCAGTATCTGTGGGGTATTGAAAAGGACACATTTGGACAGAAGCATCTGGGATGTGATGCAGAGACAACAAAGGCCTCACTGGACCCCATAGGTCTCTAGAGATGGAATACCCATAGAGGAAATGGGCCAGGCTTTTATATTCCAGCAGTAAATAGCTATAGCATGCAAGATGCCCCTGAGAATGGAGGCTTGGTCTTGGTCCAAGCAGATCCTTTCAGAGGAGGACAACTATAAAACGGTGGCATGAAGTACTGGTGTTTAGCAGCCAGCAATTAGCATGCTCAGAAACTGGGGGAAGAGCGGCATATCTCAGAGTTTACTGAAATAGGGTAGAACTTTCGCAAGAGCTTGTCCGTCAATATCTTTTGGAAGTATTTTGAATTACAGTCACTATACGTGAAAAAGTAATAATATTTGTTGAGCAGTTGATAGTCCTGCAAAATTGGAATTTCTACTCAGAATGTTGACTCAGAGGTTCTACAAAATTTGCAGTTATAAAAAAATGCATTCAATGCCTCTTGTGTGACACATTCCACCAGATGCAAGTAACTCATCAACTAGCTAGCAAAAACGAACACATGGGAGTATAACATTTGTAGCTATTTAAATATTACATAAGATGTGGAATAATTGGAAGTAAAACCTTCTAGGTGAAAGGTAGATAATGAGATAAAATTGCCAAAAAATATTTAGAAAGAGGGTGACATGACAGAAAATGTCTGTTGTCAAAGCTAAGCCTGGATATTCAAGCTAAGAAGAAGATATAGGGGAATTTTAATGCCAAGATGGGGAGCACTGGCTTCCCCTGTAGGAAATAGGGAAGAAATTTCAGTTAAAGAGAAAACCCAGATTGTGGGCCACTCTCTCTGTTAGGGCCTCCAGATTTAATTGGAAATAGAGACACAGATTAGAAGACCAGACTTGCTATGAGGTTACAACAGTAGTTCAGTTAAGACAGAATATAACATTAACACTGAGTAATGACAATAAAAGTGGATATCAATGTTAATTCCCTTGTTTTGATATTTTTGCTAAGATGTGAAGCTGAAGGTAAACTGAGTGAGGTGTCACTATGGTTTGGATGTGTTCCCTCCAAAATTCAGGTGAGGCCAACATAAGAATATAAGAGGTGGGGCCTTTAAGAGGTGATTGGGCCATGAGGGTACCTCCCTCACAAATGGGATTAGGTGCCTTTATAAAAGAGCTTAACAGAGGGAGTTTTTCTCTCTCTTGCCCTTCCACCTTTCATCATATGAGGACACAGTGTTTCTTCCCTCCAGATGACACTAAGAAGGCCTTCACCACATGCTGTGCCTTGATTTTGGACTTCCCAGCCTCCAGCACTATGAAAAAAATGATTTTTTTCTTTGTTATTTACCCAGTTTTAGGTATTTTGTTATAAGCAGCACAAGATAGACTAAGGCTGGGGTAGGTAGTAACTATTTTTGCAACTTTTCTGTAAGTCCAAAATTAGTTCAAAAATTAAAGAAAAAGAATGAATAATAAAAAAGACTCCAGAGTTACTGAAATAACTAACAGATTTCAGAGACTAATGAGAAAGAGGTCTCTTTCAGGCACAAGACCGGGTAGCAAATTTTTGGCTTCGTTTTGTAATCTAGTGCATTTACACTGATTTTTTAAGGAGAAATTATGTTCCCCCATTATGAAGTAACACATTATCAGAAAAAAATAAGTCAAGTGTAATCTCCAGTATGATATTAAGTCAATAAATCTGAAAATTTAGTTCCAGTGACTGCCTAGGTAATCGAAAAGGAAAAGTGAACACATAGTCAAAACTTCCTGTCATTATCAAAATTACCTTCTGGTAGGTGACTCTTAAAGTAGGAAATGACTTCATAGAGAAAAGATAAATCCAAATACTTTCTGAAAAACAGTATCATTTTATTTATGCACAGGGTTGGTGCATTTGGTCAGAGTAGCGTGGAGTTAACAGTTTTGCATATAAAATAGTTCTGACCTCTTCTGAAATGCTTATCTGTTTCTTTGAGCGAATCCTTTAACCTGTCTTAACCTCAGATTTAAATCTACAAAACATAATAAGATTATTGTGTGATTTAAGCAAAATAATATATGTAGGTGCCTATCACAGAAGTAACAACATGCTAATCCAGTGAGTACTAAATGTCTGTGTATTACATTTTACCCTCTGAAAAACAGATCCTTTACATCCTTTCCACATCTATGGAATAATAAAATGGAGACAGATTTTTAAAACATCCTTCCAGGAAATCTGATGCAAAATAATACTTTTAAATGCCTGTAGTGTGCATCAAACTTTTTAAAATTAGCTTCATCCATTCTCTCTAGAGATACTGATTTCTATTTTGATTACTTTGAACTACTATTCAGATTTGCTTGTAAAGTGAAGTATTCTTTTTTCATATCCCATAGTCATGCAAATTATTTCTTGTTAAATAGAAGATAGGGTATTTTCTCTGGAGTTTACAAGACTGATGATGACCATGTCTATTTCTGTTGATCTGATCTTATTATGAGAGGCAGCTCATCGAGTTATTATTACTGGTGCTGGAGTTAGGGGTTGGTTTCCATCTTCCGCATCCTCTGTGATTCAGTTTTTCATAAGCAAAGATAAATCGTTTTTTATTCTACAAACCTCAAAGTTTTCTGTGAGGATCAAATGTAATCATGTAAAGTATAGAAAATTGGCAGAGGGGATACATTTGGAGTCAAAATGCCTTGAACCAGAACATCTATTTTATATTTCATCTCCAATTTTTACTAGCTCTGTGTCCTTGGCCAAGTAACAAAAGTTTTCCAAGCTTTGATTCCTTAATCTGTAAGAAGAAAGGTAAGCATTGTTGTTACATCATAGGCTTGTTGAGAAAATTAAATGGATTAATGTATGCAAAGAGCACAGAAGAGTTATTGACATTAGGAGCTTACTGTCACTATTGTTACATTATGTGTGTATACAGGTAAAACTAAATAACAATCTAACCTTTTACAATTTTAGATGGTAGTGAATGCTTTAATTTATAATTAAGTATAGTTTTGCATAATGGCTTTGATAATAGATTTTAATAAATTTGGGGAAAAACACAAAAAGACGATCTCAAATGTAGCAATATATCCACATGCTTAGAAAGAAAATGATTTTGTTAGTAAAACAAAAGAAAACACACACACACACACACACGCACGAGTCTCTCATTCTTCCATCCAGTATAACAATTCATCTCACATCGGTTTCCTCTTTGGTATAAAACTGCTCTGAGATCATAAATAAAAAGTATTTTATAAATAAAAAGTGTTCTGTGTAAAAGCTTATATACTAAGCAGGAGGCTAGGCGCTGGACATGTCGTCAGTTTCTCCATGTTATTTGAATGGATGGCATTTTAGTACAAGTTTCTCAGTGTTATTTGAATGGATGGCATTTTGAATGAATGCTGTATCTCCCAGTCCATGCCAAGATGAACTACTGGGCTGGGGACTGCAACAGAGCTAAGACAAGCTTTTGCCCTCATCCTCATCCAAAATATTTCTGCTTGATGTTAGATTTCCTGGAAAT